AATGGTTGTCTGTCCCTGTGTGTTGGCCCTGCGACAGACTGGCGACCTGTCCAGGGTGTACCCTGCCTCTCGCCCTATGACAGCTGGGATAGGCTCTAGCGCCCCCCGCGACCCTGAAAAGGATAAGCGGAAGCGAATGGATGGATGGATTATTTTCAGCATATTTTTATTGATTGATTTAATTTATAGTTTTTTCCGACTTTAACTCTAGTTGAGTAGTTTGGGAATGCTGTACGTGTTTTTATCCTAGAGTCAGAAACGTCCCCAGTTCTGACCAGTAAACACGAGTACGTGACTTTGCTGACTGATCTGGGATCTGTCAGCGTTCCAGCTGCTTTGCTTCTCACGTTGCTGGGAATCATTTCATGCGTGTTTCTGTTTGTAGTTTACACTCTGACGAAGTTACAACAACACGTGACTCCTCTCATTTTTTAGTCCATGGTTTAAAGACATGACACGGTCTGTGTTTTCTGTGTGTGTGTTTCGGCATCAGTCCACGTACAGATGGTCACGCTCACACTCGTCTGTCACACTCTGATTGGCTGCTTTGCTGCTGCTGCTGGAAGCTTCTGCAGGAAACCTGACAGAAATTTCACAAGACCACACACACACACACACACGTATGTGATGTTTGTATTCCTGCAATAATACCACGAGGAGATCCAAATAAAGTCAGTTATTACTTCTTACTTCTTCTGTGGTTGAAAACCGCTCCACAATGAAAGCTTTGCTAATAACAGAGACGTAACCTGACTGAAAGTCTGTGCTTAAAAATCATTTTACTTCCACCTTTTTAATGGTTAAGACACAATAATTATTCTTAATTATTCTTCTCTCATCTGTGACAAGAATGAGAAACTCAAACGACGACTTGAACCCGTGTGTCTCCCTCTCAGGTTTGTTTCTGCTGGTTTTGACGGCTCGAGGACGTTAAACGTTACACAGTGAGACAAAATTTACATAGAAATAGAAATTCTGTTTATATTTTTAATAACCCGACATCTGATAATATTAGCATTTGTGGAGTTGGCGTTGTCGGTTGACTGAGTTATGAAAGGTCTTATTAAAAAATAAATGTGCCTAATGTCAAACTTCTTGCTTTGTAAGCAGCGCTTCTGTTTCATCCATGTTTTCAGTACTTTTATTTTTTATTTTAGTTTTCAGTTTAATTTCTGGTACTTTTCTGAGTTTCCTTATTAAAGAGTGGGGATTTTGTTTGTTTTTTATTTTTTTTACAAAGTTTTTGTTTCATTTTTATAAGTTTCATTGTCAGTTCTACTTATCCGGTCGTTAAGTCTGACGTCACTAGCCGTGTCTGACCCTAAACTCCGCTGAAGGTCCAGTGTTGGGAAGGTCACTTTTAAAATGTAT